CCCCCCCACTTCCACCCCCAAAGGCCAGAAAACGCTGCTGGGAAAGACTCAGATGGTGGCCAGCCATAGGGGAAAGATGGATGTGAGTTTGTTGGAAGGTTGCCTTTGACTGGGGGATGGGAATGGGAGGAAGACTTGGGTCACTCTGCCCTACCTGGACATCTCACTGCTTTGCTTACTCAGCTGGCCCTCCTGTCCATGGCGGTCCTTCTTCAGTGTTGCTTTCTTCTCGAAGGTTCTGGACCAGCCTTTCCTGTTGTGCTTGCCATTGGCAAGCTCAGCTGTGGGGTAGCCTTTTGCCAGTAGATCTTTTTCCACCCTGTTCTATTGTAAGCTTCTGGCAGGCAGGCCTCTCGTACTATGTCTTCCTCATACGTGATATGAGCTTCTGTGTACACTCTTGCTGGGGTTGGTGGCTGACTCTGGAGTCACTTCTGAGAACACCCCCCCCCCGCCACACACACACACACACACACACACATATACACTGGCCACATGTGAAATGCAGGGTGTGGTTCTGATCCAGAGAACCCAGAGCTCAAAGGCTGCTGAACATCACTAGAGAAGAAACAGGCTGCCCGGCCATGCAGCCGCCAAGCCATCGAGCAGGGGAGGGCTGGGCAGTTGGCTCAGCTCGGCCTCATTGAGGACAGTGTCTTTGCTCTGATCAGTTACAACAGTCGCTCCTATGGAAGTTGCGCCACCCCAGGGGTGGCACCGTGCGGTGCTACCCTACACAGGAGCCTGCAAGTCGGGGAGTTCTGGCTCACCTTACGCATACCAGAAGCTGGTGCTAGGCCACCACGATGCACACAGGGCACTGACTTGTGCGACTCCCTAAGTCCCATGAGCTCCCGAAAGCACTGGACGTGGCTGTGCCTCGATACTTCCTCCCAGATGAGGCGCCGAGCAAACCCACCTCCGGGGCCCCTGCAACTGACTTACAACCTGGGACAGCAGGGGAGGCTGGCAGAAGAAGGAGGCAGGAGATGAACGTGCACATCTGGGGGGAAATGGGGCACATCTGGGGCACATCTGGCTGCCTCCAGGCCTCTTTAAAAAAAAAAGCAGCAGCAGTGGTCCATCTTTTGGGCTAAGGGCAGGGAGGCCCTTCCTACCTAGCAGCCACATGCCTCTGTCCTCCAGCCAGGATGAAGAGCGAGGAGTGACAGGAGCAGCCCTCTTGGGCTGGCAAGGCTCAGCACATCCGTGGACACCCTTGACCCTCGCTGCCGTTCCTTGGCACCCTTCATTGCCCCAGGCCTTCCCTGCTCCACCCCTAGGGATTTCCATCTGCCTCCTGGCCTTGGGTAACCTGCATCGCTCTTTTGTATCCCTGCCTAGGTGGAGAGCAATCACTTCTGCCCCTGCAGCACCCAGCCAGCCTCTGGGTGACACTAGGTGCTGGGTGGAGACAGTGGTCCATGGGGACCATCCTGTGGGAAGGGCATCTAAAGGGTCCAGAAGCATCAGGACTTGCGTGAAACCACCAGAAGTGTCAAGGCCTCTGGCTTTTAAACATCTGCTCCATTCCCAAGATTCTGTGTGCCCTGGGGGAGGGGAACCAGTTCAAGTTCACGCCCTGGCTTGTCTCTCCTACCTACCCTTGGGTGCCTCCAAAATGACCAGCTCACCCCCATATGTCCTGGGGTCATCTTCATCCCCAGGAAATTCCTCAGCCCCGGGTGAACCAGGATGCTTAGGTACCCTGGCCCCAGCCACAAAAGTCCTCGTGGGTTCAGGGAACTCACATACCTCCGAATGTTGGTCTACACACAGGGTGCTGACACACACCCTGGAGTTAGAATTATTAGCCTCAGCTACTCACCCGTACCATCAAGCTTCAGGACTAGTGTGCTCTGCACCCTGTCATCTTTGGTTTGCCCTAACTCTACTCTTCCTTGGTGTTTCAAAACAAAGCCAGGTTCTGCTGTCTCACACCTGTAATCCTAGCTACTCAGGAGGCTGAGATCTGAGGATTGTGGTGGTTCAAAGCCATGCCAGGACAGAAAAGCCTATGAGACTCTTAATCTCCAATTAACCAGCAAAAAGCTGGTAGGACACCAGCCTTGACCAAAAAAGTTAAGAGACAGCACCCAGGCCTAGCCCCATTACCAACACACCCACACACTCCCCAACCCTGCCTCCTCCCTTTTGTCCCCCCCCCATCCCCTCGCTATAGGAAATAAACTTTAAAAGAAAACCCTGTCTCAACTCCCAAAGCTGGACTCCAAGCTGGTGGTTCTCGGGGTCTCCTCCCTGCCAGATTCCAGCTCCCTGGGAAAAGGCGAGGAAAAGTTTGGATGCCTAAGCCAAATGAAACTCCTCTGCTGCTGAGGCTGCTCTCCTAGACAGACCCTTGGCTCACCTTCCAGGAGAGGCCGGAGCAGGGCTGCTCCTGCCCCTGTGCTAGCAGCTCTGCCCCCAGATAAACCCTCCTTCCCAGTGCCCGCCCCCCCCATTATCCTTTCTTGTTCCTTCCAGTCAGGTTCTGGTCCCACAAATCCTCATGGGGTTTGGCTGACCACAGAAGGGGTGCTGTCAGGGGACAGCTTGTGGCTTCTTTTTATAAAGAACTCTTCATTCTCACTTCCTTCCCTCCTGCTAACTTATCATGGTGTGGACCAGTAACAGGAGCAAAAGCCAGACGCTGCAGCTCCTGTACCCTCAGGGGTGAGGAAGACAGTGTTTGACTCTCCCTTGCTTCTGAATGCTGTTGGAACTGGGAACGGGGGCCGTTCCTAGAAAGGAAACCTCTTGTTTTGGCTTTCTGTTCCCCAGGCATGGAGGAGGGAGGCCGACCAGTCTCTTACCTTATCAAGAGTGCCAGCAAGGGGAGTTGTTTGCTTAAGTCAGAGGCCAAGGGGAGATGCACAGTAGGACTGGGGTCTCCCCCAAGCCACCTGCTCCCTTTGAGGCTCTTCTCCATCTTACATCCCTGCCAGCAAGTCCAGCTCCTTAACCCCCCGCTGCTCATGAAGCAGCCCTTAGCTTGTCCCCAGGGGACTGTCTCTGTCAGCCCCAGCCCCCTTGTGCCCCTCACACCCAGCTACAATGTGTTCACCAGTCTCCATCACTTTTTTCTTTGTTCCAGTACCAGGGCTTGAACTCTGAGCCTACGCGCTGTCCCTTAGCTTTTTCATTCAGGGCTAGTGCTCTACTACTTGAGCTCCAGCTCCAGTTTTTTTTGGTAGCATAAGAATCTCACAGACTTTCCTGCCCTAGCTGACCATGCTGATCCTGAGATCTCAGCCTCCTGAGTAGCTGGGATTACAAATGTGAGCCACTGGCACCTGGTACTTTCTGGAACCATCGTGCTTATTGCAGTATCCTGACATCCTGGTGATCTGTGTTGGTATCCCTGCCCTTCATGCCTTCTAGGCTTCCCAAATCAGGTTTTGTGTTCAGTAGGCAGCCAGTCTGCAGGCTCCCAGTGGCCCCCAGTGCCCCTGGACCCCAGCTTGTATTGGGAACAGGAATAGTAGAGTAAGGGTTGCTAAAATGATGGAGAGGGGGTCAGCCACCATCCTCATCCTCTTTCCCTTTGAGGACACCTGAAGCCAGTGTTTCTCAACACTATGTACATCATTAAACTGTAGACACAAGGCAGGTGGGCCCCGAGAAGCCGTGGTGTGGGTCCAAGGCATTGGCTTTTGTTGTATCTCAGCAATGAGATTAGGTATCCAGGTCCAAGAGCTGTGGATTCAAGTTGTGTGCCAGAGCTGGTGCAGGTGGTGAGGAAGAGGAAAGGGCAATGGAGCCTCGGGGTCCACTAGTCAGCATGTATGGGTCAGATATAGAGTGTCCCCCAAAGGCTCATATGCTGACGCTTGGTTCCCAGCCGATGGAGCCAATTACTTCGGGGATTAATCCATGGATGGGTTCATAACTTGCTAGAGTGCCTTCCTCTGTCTCTCTACTTCCTGGCCACCATGAGATGAGCAGCTGTGCTCTGCCCCGCCGTGATCCACGAACGATGGAGCCGAGGGAGCGTGGACTGAAATCTCGAGTTGAAGTCAGCCCTTCTCCCTTAGGTTTCTGTCACAGTGATGAGACACTGACAAACATAACATAGATGTTTAACACACAGGGGCGAGGACTGTACTTGTGTCCAGGTCACGTGTGTGTGTGTGTGTGTGTGTGTGTGTGTGTGTGTGTGTGTGTAGGAGAATGACTTAGGAAGGGCCCGTGGGAAGGTGGGAGGATATCAAAGCTGTGGTCCCAGCCCTTGCTGCAAGGCTTGGGACCCCGGCAGCTTCCAGGATTGCCCAGTTGGGGCAGTGCCCTGTAGAGAAAGGAAGGCCTGGCAGGATCCCGAGGGCGCGGCTCACAGCTGGGTTGGGCTGGAACCCTGTGCCAAAGCTAGGGCAGGGCCGAGGCCTCGGGGCTTGCCAGGGATGGAAGAATGGAGTTTCTGTACTGTTTATCAGGGCAGGATGCGGAGGAAGAGGAGGGGGAGGAGGCTGCCGCAGCCCGCCCGGCGGACGGAGCACCCTGCTCATGTCCCCGGGAGGACTTTGGACAGGGAGCGCCACCTCTGATTCACTGTGACAGTGGCCCGGCAGCTCTGTGGTCATTCCTGGGGGAAGTCACAGTTCCACCCATGCAGATAGGAGGCAGAGACTGGCTATGGCCTTCTGGCCAGCCACCAGTGCCAGCGCCATGTAGATCTGATGGGACCCTTTGACCTTCCCCACTGGAAAAAAATCTTGAACTTGGGGCTTTGAAGGGGAAAAGGCCCTGATGTAGGACAGGGTCTAATGAAATGTGGGCACAAATCTGTTTGTTTCATCCACGGAAATGTATTTCAGATTCTGAAACCGTGAGCCCCCCTAAGTCCTCTGTCGCTTTGGTCACAGCAGTGAGCAAGGCGGGCACCCAGGTCCTAACCTCTTTCCATTCTCCGTCTGGCACAAGGCCCACCTTCTCACCCATACCCAGCGCTCTCATGGGCTCATAGTTCCAGGCAAGAGCTTTCATGTGTCTTCTTGGTTTTTTAGGAATCTGGCCATTGGAATTGGGATCCAGAACTTCCCAGAGGGTCTGGCTGTCAGCCTCCCCCTGCGTGGAGCTGGCTTCTCCACCTGGCGAGCCTTCTGGTGAGTGTCCCAGGCGGAGTGGCCTTAGAGATCCGCTTACCATGTGAAAGCCATGACTATCATTTCCAGCAGTTGAGGCACCAGGAAGGAAGGAGACGGTATGGACTGTTTATGGCCAACATTTAGACTTTGAAATGAATTCCCCCCCCATCTCTTTCTGCTAGCATGGAACACAGAGTCAGTCCCTTGAATGCTAGACAATGTCTGACTCTCCCTATCTGTTGCTAGGAATTATGCTAGCAGAGAAGGTAGTTGTGCTAGCCCAACCAAAAAGCTGCCATTTCTGCTGCCGGTTTCTGCATTAGGTCAAGAAAAGCCAGGAAGCACCCCCCGCCCCCAGGCCCCATTAAAGGAGTCTCTAGCAAAACAAGCTCTTCCTGCATAACCATTGCTTGACCCTGGCCAGGGAGAGGTAGAGGAGTTCACAGTCCCTAGGTATCTTCTCATCTCGAGAGGCTGGGTAGGCTGATACCTCTCTTCCCCATTTTAAAGATGGAGGGACTGATACTCAGAGGTACAATATCACCCAAAGAAGATGCACTCTTGGAAGCTCAAATAAAGGACTTTATTAACAGTAGTAAACTCACCTTAATCCAAGATGGGATTCTTAGCAGGTACAACTGCTCTTGGGGAAGGTCCGCACCGCACCTAGCCAGGGGCCTATCAGTCATCCGGTGATGAGGGGGCGGGTAACATGTAGACATTCGGAAACAGGAAGGACACATGCCACTTTATGCTCCGTGAAATAAGCCAGCCACAAAGGACCGTGCAGTCTACGATTCTACTTCTGTGGAATCCACAAGCACAAATACACAGAGGAAATAGGGAGAGTTGTGGTTTCCAGGGAGGAGGAATGGGAAGTGGTTGTGCATATGCATGGACTTCCCTTCTGGGGTGCAAAGTGTTCTAAAGTTAGGGGTGACGCTTGCGCTGCCTTGGAAATGTATCAAAAACCCCTGAATAGAAACATTAAATGGTTGTAGCAGATGGTGTGTGAATTTTATCACAGTCAAGCTGTCAATAAAAAACCGGGCACTTACAGCTCAGGCCTGAAATCCTAGCTACTCAGAAGGCTGAGATCTGAGGATCAAGGTTCAGAGTCGACCCAGGCAGGAAAGGCTGTGAGACTCTTATCTCCAGTTAACCACCAGAAAACCAGAAGTGGAGCTGTGTCTCAAAGTGATAGAGCACTGGCCATGAGTGAAAAAGCTGAGGGACGGCGCCCAGGCCTTGAGTTCAAGCCCCACCAGCACACACCCATACACACAGAGGACAGTATAGGATGCTTACAGCTTACAAGGATGGTGGGATCTGCTGGAGCGGTTCCACGGGCGCTGAGGGAGAAAGAGGAGGAGGGGGATGTGAAATGATGATGTGTGTTTATGCTGCCCTGGTCTGTGTCATGCAGAGCCTGGTTTCTAGGGTGGCCAGCAGTCCAGGCACTCGATGTCCACTCCTCTCTCCCTATAGTGGTCCGTGTCTGTGTTTCCTCCTTAGGTATGGGCAGCTGAGCGGTATGGTGGAGCCCCTGGCTGGGCTCTTCGGCGCATTGGCTGTGGTGCTGGCTGAGCCCATCCTGCCTTATGCACTGGCATTTGCTGCTGGTGCCATGGTCTACGTGGTCATGGACGACATCATTCCTGAAGCCCAGATCAGGTACAGAGTTTTCCCTGGCAGTCTGCCCTGCCCAGGGCCCTGCCTGCCCCAGGCCCCTCCCAGCCCCAGGCTCTACCCAGGCCATGCCCTTTTCACTCCCCTCTCCTTTGCTCTGACACCACCACCCCGCCCCTCCTCAACTGTGCTCCCTCCCTCTGAAAACGAGAAGGGAAGGGCAGGGGGCTCACGAGACAAGATGGTGCCACACAGAGCCCCTGGCAGACAACCATCCTTGTATAGCCTACCTTTCTCTTTAGATCTTCCTGAGAGGAGGGTAGGCTCTGCCACCTCCGCCCACTAGCTAGCTGTAGGTCGGGGTTCAGGTGGTGGTGAGCAGGGGAGGGGACTTGATTGGTGTCACGCTGGTTTTTATAGATGAATAGTGTTTTGGGGGGTAGTACTGGAATTTGAATTCAGAATCTTTTACTTATTAGGCTTTGCCGCTTGAACCTCAGCCTTCTTACTTAATTGTTTTTTAGATAGTTGTTTTTTTTTTTTTTTTTTTGCCTCAGGCCAGCCTGGACTAAGGTTCTTCTACAAACATGAGCCAGCACGCCCAGCTTTTTTTGTTCTTGTTGAGATGGATTCTTGTTTGTTTCTTTAGTGTGTGAGAAGAGGGTGACCTCAAAGCCAAGTTCCTTCCAAGCTCTACTGTGTGTGTGTGTGTGTGTGTGTGTGTGTGTGTGTGTGTGTGTGTGTGTTGGTATCAAGGCTTGAACTCATGGCCTAAGAGCTATCCCTTAGCATTTCTGCTCAAAGCTGGTGCTCTGCCACTTGAGCAACACCTCCCCTTCCAGCTTTTTGCTGGTTAATTGAACATCAGAGCCTTAGGGACTTTTAGTCCAGGCTGGCTTTAAATTGTGATCCTGAGATCTCAACCTTCTGAGTAGGTAGGATTACAGGCATAAGCTACCAGCACCTACCTGATTTGTATGTTTTATCTGGATGGCCCAAACTTCACCTCTTGAGTAGGTTGGATTATTGGCATGAGCCACTGCACAAAGGTCCAATGATAATTTTGGACCTAGTATGCCAGGTCAGATTAAATAAATGTCCACTCCTTTTTATTTTATTTTATTTTATGTTTTGGTCATGGGGCTTGGTGCTGTCCCTCAGCTCTTCAGCTCAAGGCAAGCACTGTGCCACTTGAGCCACAGCACCACTTCCGGTTTTCTGGTGGTTTACGGAGATAAGAGTCTCATGGACTTTCCTGCCCAGGTTGGCATTGAACTGCGATCCTCAGATCTCAGCCTCTTGAGTAGCTAGGATTATAGATGTGAACCACCAGCACCCCGGCTCCTTATTTTTTTAATCTGGATTCCAGAGTCCTGGGCAAGTTACTTCTCTACATCTCCTTCCCCCTTTCCCAGAATATGGGGTATGATACTGCCTTGAGGTGGTTGCTTGGGATTATGTGTGTTAGCAAGTTAGTGAAGCCAAGCGAATGTTTCCATCATTCATAGCAGAATAGAGTTAGACAATGCAGGAGGGCCTTTTGGGTAGACATGGTGTTAGAAGTGCCGGGTCTGACTGCTCCTCTCCTTCCTCCCTAGTGGTAACGGGAAGCTGGCATCCTGGGCCTCCATCCTGGGCTTCGTGGTGATGATGTCACTGGACGTGGGCCTGGGCTAGCACTGTCACATCATACCCCAGGGTGGAGAGCACCAGACTTCTGAAGGACCACAGGCTGCTTTTTCACATTAAAACTTTGTTCCCCCTCTCCTCTTCATTATCTGGATCAGCTCTGATTGTTCAATGACCATTTTTACTTTGCTCTAGAGGGAGATGGTACTTTTCTTTCTTCCTTTTTTTTTGTTTTTTTTAAACCACCCTGTGTCATGGACTACAGATTTTTGTTTTGACCCCTGAATGGAATCTTTCTTCATTGGAATTATCAGGGCAAATAGATCAAGGGACCCTCTGCCTTCTTTCCCACCTCTGGTCTCCCTCTCTAGACTTAGCAGTGATCCCTAAAGGCTGCTCCCAGAAGCAAGCTCCTAGGACATATTCTAAGCCAGAATTGGCCTCATTTCAAAGCAGGTGGCCATCGCTCCTGCTCTATCCCTACAGCTCCTCTGTCTCTCTAGGGCGTCATGAACACGTTGACCTGCTTTCCAAGGCTGAGCCAGCCCAGAGAGGAATACACCTTCCTCTGCCTCCCGGGACATGAGAGAGGGCCACACACAAAGAGAAGCAGGTTATCTTCTTTTTTTTTTTTTAAGGCAAAGATTGGCACTATTGAAGATAGGAGGATTTGGGAATTTGAACATCGGTGACTACACAGTAACCCCTGAGAAAAGGGGACCACGTGTGGCCCTACCCCGGGCCTCCGCTCTCGGTGGATTCCAGAGTGGTTTGTCATGGTTCCCAAGTCTCCTAGACCACGATCTCGATTTTTATGGCCTCTGTTTGTCCAAGGAACTTGGAGTTGCCAGCAATTGCTAGAACTCAGCCCCCTCTTCTGCTAATTATAGGAGCCACTTAAGTTAACTCAGGGGAGAGAAAGACATTTGGGATCTGTAACAGGTCCTTCCCCGCTGGTCATTGGTCGTGTAGAACCCAGCCAAGAACTCTGGAGCTGAAGCAGACCTGGGGTCTGGCCAGAGGGCTGAAGATGGAGAAGGAAGAAGAGAGATTCTTACTTTGCTTTTAAAGTCCCTTGTAGCCAAGCTAACATTCTGAAATGACCATAGGAAATGGCTGTGGAAGCCACCTGCTCTGTCACACACCCGTCATTCACGCTGCCTCTCCGGCGCTGGGGATGGGATGAGAGGCTGTGTGCGCTTGGTCATAGCGAGGACCTTCACCCTCCTTGGTCAGAGGAGCCCTGAGACCTCCAGTGTGCCCCATGGGGAAAGCAGGCAGCCCAAGAGCCAGGCATTCAGGAATTGTGCCGTCCACGCGGCTCTCTTGAGTTTCCGTGTCTGAGTGCTTCCAAGGGTGAGTCCACCGCCCTGTGAACACTCCATGACCCCAGAGACCAACCACTGGGCTGTGCCTGTGTCTGCTCTCCCCAAAGCATTAACCATCGGGACAGCAGACACATTCAGAGGAGGTTTGATTGGCAAGATTAGCAGGTGTGGTGATGATTGGTATCTGTGTATTTTGTGTCTTTGGAAATAGTTCTACATAAAGCAAATTTGTTCTTTCTGCTGGTAAGGCCTCGTAACTGTGATTAATACCAATAAAGGGAATATTGTGGAAGGCCTGTGTCGTCTCGTGCAGTCCTTCACAAAGCTGCCTCTTTCCAGGGATGCAAACTCAAGAGAGAGAACTGTTATCTCCCCCACCCAACACCCACAGAAGCAAAACAGATGCTCTGAGAGAGACTGGTCAGATCGCTTGCGACCTCGGTGTGTGGCAGCAGGAGAGAAAATCTAACGGAGCTCAGATCCCATAGGATAACCAGGCATAGACCCAGGTCACACCCGACAAAGCTACCCATCTGGAGATCTGGGACTATGACCAGGCACACCTGCAGACCACCCTGCTTCAGGTGCATGGCCCCCGGGGCCAGTCCCTAGACAGTGGACTTCACTCTATTGAAACCGTTGTCCCTTCAGTCCACCACCAGCACCATGAGTCACACTGACCCTGATCCTCTGTCCCAGGTCCACATAGAGGTGCCAGAGCTTCCATCCTGTGTCCAGGAGCTAACCAGTCCTCTTGCTTACCATGACGCAAATGGCTAACCATTTTCTAGACTTTGGAATGAGTTCAGATGGTGGAAAGCCAAAAGAACAACGTTAAGTGTGTGTGCAGCCTCCTTCTTTGGCTGTGCATCGACACAGCCCCTTATTTCACTTAGAAGGAATGCTTTTGACTTGGGGAGTGTAGCTGTTTCCCACACAGCCAAACTGCCTGCATCCCCCTTCCAAATGGAGCCTTGTCCATGGCTTTGTCAGTACTGAGACTCAGTGCCGCAGGAAAAATCCCATGTGATAGCCAGCCATGTATCCTGATGCTTTCATACAACACCACAATCCCAGAATCTGTGCCTAGATCAACTTAAAGTGATGTTCTAGCTGGGTGTGGTGGCTCACGCCTGTAATCCTAGCTGCCTGAGAGGTTGAGTATAAGCAAGCTGTGAATATTAATTTATTGATACATTTATTTGCTCACTTGCCAATATTGGGGTTTTTGAACTCAGGTCTCAAGCTCTCATTTGGCTTGCTTGCTCATAGTGAGTGTTCTGCCACTTGAGCCACACCTCCAGCCTGGCTTTTTGCTGGTTAATTGGATGGAGATGGGGGTCACTCAGACTTTTCAGCCTCAGCCAACTTTGACCCTCACTTTCCCAGGTCTCAGCCTGTGAGTATCCAGGATTAGAGTTGTGAGCCATCAGTGGCAGGCTCACAGATGTAAAAAATGTCCATCTAAAACAGTCATTAGGGTTTGTGCTAGGTTTTGTTTATCACAAGTCATACAAGCCTCCCTTTTTTTTAATGAAGGACCATGACCCACTAGGTAACATTTATTGTGTGGCAAAACAAATATTACGTCGAATCAAATATTTTTTTAAAAGAGTGAAAATTTAGTTCACATAAAGCTATTGAGTTACCAAAACAACAACAAACAAATATAAAATACTCCAGTGTATGTATATTTTAGTTTGATGTAAAGAACAGTCGGGAAGTATATTGATAAGGTAATACTGGAACCTGGTGAAAAAGAATTGATTCTATCCTTTACAAAGGCTGACTAAAACCTGCTGAACAACCAGACATGGCTGCTTTTCAAACCCTCCCCCATGCCTTCCTTCTGGTCCTCTAGGTCCTACTCCTTGATCAAAGTTCACACTTCTTTTGGAAAGGCTGTAATCTTACCATTGCAGAAGTTCAGCCACTGCTAGGGGTCTAGTTTTACCTTGTTTGCTCTGTTCGCAGTCTTACAGAGACAAAAGGATGTGGAACAGCAGTAATAGGAAATGCAGGCTTTCAGTTTCCTTGGTCTTCCCTGTTTGAACTTGAGCTTGCCTGTGCCGCCTTTTACGTTGCCTAGCCTTTCTGGCCAGACCTCATGTCCTTGACTGTTGGATGGGAGGATCAGCCTTCTCCCTCTATGTGCTGGCCTTAATGGGCCCTCCAGGTGATGGGGAGGAGGGGGGGGTGACAGGGATGTGGGGGAGAGGGGTTGACATCTTCTCTGGAACTCTTACACAAAACCTCTTCAACTGCTGTGCAGAGGGAGGATGAAGGGACCACTGTATAGCTGTAGTCTCTGTGCTTCTGGCCCTGAATTCCTTACCGTCATTCCTACCTACCTACCTGGTCCCTGCTGAGGGTGAAGAGGAGGACCCAAAGGCTCACTGGCCTAGCAGGTGCCGTGGACCCAAGCAGCAACAGAATGCACCAGTGGACTTGCTAACCCTCCTCACCTGCTCCAGCTTTGGGCGCAACATCACCCTCACCTCCGTCCTTGGGTGCAGGTGGGTTAACTTTGAAAGTTGAAGGCAGATGGGAGCTGGGGCGGGGGCAGGTGGGAGCTGGGGGGGAGGGAAGCTCCGCTTTCTGCCCTTTGCATTCATTGGAGCTGTGACTTACAAACAGCACAGGCTCCATCACTGCGGGGCTCTACCCTGCCTGAGGATCTTCTTAAGCCCCAGGTCTCCTGTTCCCCAGGTCTGAGGCCCCACCCACCCACCCCAAATGCCCTGGGTCAGCCCAGCCCAGGTGTGATCTGACTCTGCCCCACTGTCACTGACTAGTGTTGGGTATACCTGGGGAGATGCCCTGGGAGGGTTGTTGACTTGAGCCAGGCTGGACAGGACACTCTGTGACCCAGCTTCGTGTGCACAGGGCAGCACCTCAGGAAAAGGCCTGGACACCCTCAGACCTGCCACTTGGGGCTGGCTGGTCTGTGGAGGTAAGCAGCATGCATTGCAGCCACCTGGCTGCAGCGAGACCATCACAGGCACCCAACCATCTCCTGGCACCCCAGGTCCCTGGAGGAAGAGCCTAAGAAAGATTACACAGGCACAAAACAAAATTAGGCACAGGGCAAGAAATCCCACTTCATGAATCTACTTTTCTGTCATCTTACTTCACGGGGGAGGGGGGGAGGGAGGGAGGGGGGAATGGAGAGGAGTAGTTACCAGTAGAATACAATAAGAAACCCTTTCCCTTCTGGTTATTTCCTCCACTGGTAGTGCCTGGCTCTCCACAGGCTTAAAGGTAAAAGGTCCCTGAATGGCCACCATTTGTCGCCAGGGGTTGCCATGTGGAATTCAGGGTCTCAGGATTCCCAAGCATCATCAAGGTACCAGTCTACCACCCTCTGCCTCTGAAGGGACAACTGATTTGTTAGTCCAGAGAAAGGCACATGGTTCTTTGCACAGATTGAGCCTCTGTGCCCTAGCCTCCCCACCCCTTATCAAATCAAAAGATCAAATTGGAAGCCAAGCAGCAGGTGGCTCATGACTGTAATCCCATCTATTCAGCAGGCTTAGATCTAGATCACAGTTCAGAGCCAACCCAGGCAGAAAAGTCCCCAGGATTTTTGCAAAAAGCAGGGCTGGAGGCATTGTTCAAGTAGTAGAGTGCTGGCTGAGCAAGGAACCTGAGCAAGTATGAAGCTCTCATTTCAAGCCCCAGTACTGGCACAAAGAACAACGAATACAGAGATGGAAATCAAGTGGGATCTTTTCAGATGTAATGGCTGCTCTCCCACACACACGGAACCACAATGTTAAATCTCACTGGGCTCCCTCTATCCAGTGGAGATGGTACGGCTCTGCCTGTTTGGGGTTGTGGAGATGGTATGGCTCTGCCTGTTTGGGGTTGTAGAGCCCAACCCTCTGGATACAGGTAATCTAGGATCTCCCTTCACTAATCCAACAAGATCCATGACTTTCAAGAAGTCCAGGAAGATGAGTGAAATACAGAAACAATGTTAAGACTTGCATATTGAATATCTACTAAAGGTCTGCTGTAGGAGTTTTGAATACCAGTCTGTGGTGCTATTGGGAACCATGGAGCATTTAGGGGTGGGGCTTAATGGGAGGAACTTAGGTCATTGAGGATGTGGCCTAAAAGAGGATATTTGGGCTGCTGGCCTCTTCCTCTTTAGCTCTTCTGAGGTGAGCAGCTTTACTCCACCACATGCCTTCTGCCATGATATTCTGCCTCACCACAGGCCGAAAGGAACAAGGCAGAGCAACAGGACCTCTGAAACTGTAAGTCAAAACCTTTCTTCCTTAAGAGTTTATTAGAACAGGTCTTTTGTAGCAGTGACAGAAAGCTGACCCTCACAGTTGGACAAGACTGGAGGAGAAGAGCATGGGCATGAAAGAGAGGTGCTGAAGCTAAGTTTGGGTTCCACATTGGATGTGTGTGGAATGATTGTGCTTTCCCTGACCTAGGCCTTGTAGGGTAAGGGTCAAGGTATACTTGTGTTTGCAACTGTACTGGTCATCAGCATACCTTGGAGATTTTACTAGTAAAAAGAACAATGAACTAATTGCTAGAACATTCAGTAGAAACTTGTTTTTTGCTTGTGGGGCTTGACTTCTGAGCCTGGGCATTGTCCCTCAGCTCTTCAGCTCAAAGCAAGTGCTCTACCACTTGAGCCACAGTGTCACTTCCAGTTTTCTGGTGGTTTATTGGAGATAAGATTCTCATGGAGTTTCCTGACCAGGCTGGCTTTGAACCGCAATCCTCAGATCTGAGTCTGAGTAGCTAGGAATATAGGTATGAGCCACTGGCACCAGGCTTGTTTGTTGGTTTGTTTCCCTGCCTTTTCATTGAAAATACTGAGCATGTGAACTTATGAGAATTATCAATTCTTTTCATTTTCTAATAGGCCTATAATATCCAAGACAAAAATTTTTTAATTGACTGCTCTGAAATAATGCAAGAATTTGTAGATGTTTTCCATGTGGGCATCAGTCCTATTTAGTAATGTGCTAGAAGATACCATTGCACATGTTTCTGTTGCTGTTACAAACTACTATAAACTTAGCACATATCATTGTTTCCGCATCTCTGAGTCAGGGAGAAACTAGGGGCTTCTCCTGGGGTCTCGCAGACAGTGCTCCCTGTGGGAGCTTGCCAAGGAAGATCTGAGTCTGAGCCCCTTCTGCTTGTCAGAGGTCTTCCATTCCAGGCAGCTGTACGACTAGGGCCCCACTTCTGATGCAAGATTGGCCTGGGCTCCTAGGGACTGGTGCTCCTAGAGGCTCTGTGAAATGTACTGCCACATGGGTG